TGTGTGTGTGTGTGTGTGTGTGTGTGTGTGTGTGTGTGTGTGTGTGTGTGTGTGTGTGTGTGTGTGTGACACCACCCTGTCCCCATCCTCTGTATCGGCAGACTACAAGAGGTCAGGGGCCTGACAGCATCGCAGCTTTGGTCAAGTTTAGGTCAGGGCTCAGCAAATACCTGCCTGTTAAACCTGACCTCGCCTAGGCCTTTGTCCTAGTGTAGATGCAGGGTAAGAGCGTTCGCTTGAATTAGCTGCTTGTGTTGAAAATGAGAGAGAGACAGAGCCTCACAGGAACACAGCTCTTTTGTACATTCTCCTAGCACTACAACACACCTCGCAGACCTTCCCCCCTAACAGTGAGATCTAGTGGACAGGGCACTGAAGGAGGAGTCAGGAGACCTGGGTTCTTCTGTTCCTGGCTTTCCCCCTGACCATTTGTGTGACCTTGGGCAAGTCACCTTACCTCTAGTGTCCTTCCCCTACCCTTTGTCTGTCTAGCTATTTCGATTGTGTGTGCTCTTTGAGGCAGGGATTGTTTCTCACTAGGTGTTTGTACAGCACCTAGCATGACACCTCCCTGATGGCAGTTGGGCCCCAACTGGCGCACTACAGTGCTCAAAGTGCCTTTACGAGCGTGCAAGCAATGCCAAAGCCCATGCCAGTCACCAGCCTTAGGTGTGTGATCCAAGAAAAGCTGGATGGAGAAGATCTCGCAGACAGCCTTGCCCACACAGGAGGGGACAAGGTGTCTTTGAACCTTGCAAGCCTCAGCCGTAACATAGAGCAGGCTGCAACATCGACAGGAGGCCAGTCTCTCTGGAATCGGGCAATCCAAAGGGTGCATTCTACGCTCGGCGAGCAGGAGAACGAATGAATGATGAATGAAAGGACCATACTTGAGTTGGACAGTCTTGGCAGTGGCAGGACCACAAGCAGCTCCCAGGTCCGCAGTGTCTCTGACAGGTGTTTGAGGGAGCAAAATGTCCCTCTGAGGCCGTCAGAGGAAACAAATAGCTATGGCAAGACTCATGGCCCCCACTACAGAAGCAGCTGGCTTTCCACGTCTGGAATAGCAGTTCGTCTTATGCTTGCAACATTTAAGAATGGTTGGATTCAAATTGGCGACTGGAGTCTGCAGGGAACTGCTGCCATTCAGACATCACAGCTGGCTACAGGCTCAAGGACGGATGCTTATTCAAATTTGCCTTAGCTTTTTGTGATTGCTATTTGTCACATACCTGCCAACCCCAAGCACTCAACAATCGTGAGTCAGGCCCCCCAAAATCATGGGTTTGGCTTAAAATATTAAAATTTTGGGATCTTTCTTATTTGCCTTCTTGTTATTTAACACACGGGATCGTGTTTTCTCTGCAATCTGAGAGCCTGAAACGTACTTTTAAAAGCAAAAGGAAGCTGAGATTCTCACTAATCACATGCCTCCAGGAGATGGAGCTTTAAAAATAACATCAACTAGCATGGGAGTTGCAATAAAACGGTGACAGTTGACAACGCCATTGCTGCATTACAAAATAACCTTTGCATTTGGAAATCGAATCGTCCATTCTAGTTTTTTGGAACTTGTAAGTGGTTGGGCTTTAATTCTACTTTACCCATTCTATAGCACCTGCCATACCAGAGCCTCAAACCACTTTCAAAAGTTAATGAATGTTACCCTATGTGCGGTGGGTACACACAAATGTTCCCAATGTCTAAGATGGGGAAACTGAGGCACAGAGAGACGCTAGCCAGCAAGTTGGCTTCCCACAAACTGAAGTAAATGAAAATCTGGGGCACTTCTGAAAATCTTGGCCTAACTGACTGGTCTGCAGTCACACAATGAGTTCACATCCCCCAGCCCCATCCTCCCTCACCTCCTCGATCATGCACAAAAATAATTGGGCTTCAGACTCAAAGCCATTGTGCCATGCCCATCAGCATCCTACCAACTTGACTTTAAGGGCCTGCTCATCCCCAGGCCAAGGAGTCAGGTGACTCCTGGGACTGGAGCCTATCTATCACCATATTCCAGAATTCTGTGTCCCCCTGGAATCATGGCTCTCACCAACCCCCTATACCCAGCACTGAAAACTTGCCCCATATCTCCCAGCATATCCCGGACACCGCAAACGTACCCCTCCCCCCATCCCAGAGTTCTCTGTATCCCTGGCATCGTGACCCTGCCCCTCACCACATCCCAGAGTTCTCTGTATCCCTGGAAACGCGATCCTGCCCCTCACCACATCCCAGATTTCTCTGTATCCCTAGCAGTGGGACCATGGCCCGTGCCCCATCCCAGAGTTCTCTGTATACCTGGTATCACGAATCTCCCCATCGCTGCATCCCAGAGTTCTCTGTATCCCTGGCACTGCAAACTTCCCATTCACCGTATCCTAGACTTCTTTGTATCCATGGCACTGCGAACCTGCCCCTCGCCACATCCCAGTGTTCTACTTATCCCTGGCACCGCCATCCTGCCCCTCACCACATCCCAGAGTTCTCTGTATCCCTAGCACCACGACCCTGCCACTCACTGTATCCCAGATTTCTTTGCATACCTGGCACCGTGAATCTGCCCCTCGCCCCAGCCCAGAGTTCTCTGTATCCCCGGCACCACGACCCTACCACTCGCTGTATCCCAGAGTTCTCTGTATCCCTGGTACTGCAACCTTGCCCATCACCACATCCCAGAATTCTCTGCATCCTTGGTACTCAGAACCTGCCCCATGCCACATCCCAATGTTCTCCGTATCCCTGGTACCGCGAACCCGCCCCTTGCCGCATCTCAGAGTTCTCTGTATCCCTGGCACCGCAAACTTACTTCCCCATCACCGTATCCCAGAGTTCTCTGTATCCCTGGCACTGTGAAGTTGCCCTTGTCACATCCCAGAGTTCGGTGTATCTGACTACCTTTGAAAGGCTGTGTGTAATACATGAAATCCCTGATGATAAGAGAGCTCCTACCCTGATTGCAAAATTAACTGGTAAAACTTGAAATGTATTGAAATGCCTCTTGAAGATGCTTTAGACTACTGTAAATTTAAAGATACTGTTTTGTGAAGTTTTCAGATTATCCCTGAAACATATAGAGTTAAATTTAGAAATCTTAAGAGGGATATTGGTATGAGTAATGGGGAATATGTAAACAAAATGGAAGGCTTGTTGGGAAAATGGGTGAGGGGTAAAGAGGGGTAAAGAGGTAGCAAGTTTTGAGGGAATGTTGGAGCTTGTTGCTCAAGAGCATTTCCTAAGCATATGTAAGGTTGATGTAAAGCAATGTCTATGGGACAAAGATATAAAGTCTGTGGATGAGATGGCTTTTTTAGCTGATGCCGTTGAACAGAATCAGGCATCAATTGAGGGAAAGGAGGATCCCATTTTGCCCCTGGGAAGAGAGAAGGGGGTTGGGAGCCTAAACATTCTCTTAACCCAAAACATTCCTCTAACCCTCGTCCCAAATCTCCTGTAAAAGCAGAAGAGCCCAAAAGGTGCAATCAGTATAATTCCACTGATCACCTGAGGAATAAATGCCCTGTGCTAGGAGGAAGCAGACAACCGATAGCTCATGTTAGTTCTGTTGTCCTCAACACAGAAACCCCCCAAGCAATTGAAACCTATCATATTGGTTTTGTGAGGTTAGCCTCTGCAGAACCAGATATGGAGCATGTTGAAGTTGTCCAAATTAATGGCAGGAGGTACTTGGGGCAGAGGGATACAGGGGCCCAGATCCCTCTGGTTAAGCAGAGTGTGGTCCCAAAGGCCAGTATGCTACCTGGCCAAATGGCAGAAATTGTGGGGGTGGGCGAAAGCAGATTCCTCATACCATTAGCTAAAATCCATGTGGTGGGGGAAGGTTTGGAAAGTGTTTTGACTGTGGGGATAATAGAACACCTCCTAATCGACCTGCTTCTTAATAATAATTTTTCCGTGTAGCTCAGGTTAAAGTATTTGCCTGCAGCAGGAGGGAGTTTTATGCTGGGACCCCTGAGGGAAAGGGTAAGGTCTCAGGAACTGCTGAGAGAATGGGAGAGAGTCTCCTTGATTCTTCTGCAGCAGGGAGAAGCCACATGCTTCCAGGTGGGAGGGTGTTTGAGACCAACTCCTGCACTGCAGCTGGAGGCAACACCACATCAGGAAGGGATGGGGGTATAATGCCTGCCAGGGAGAGAACTGTCCAGGTTGTTAGCTGCCAGCAGGTCGCAGCTGAACCAGAGGCAAAACCATCTCTAGGGAGCATAGAGCAATGTGTCCCAGAGGAGAGTCCAGAGAAGGGGCAGGGGAGCTCAGAAACC